TCAGTTTTGTATCCTTTCCCCACATTTATTCAATCTATATGCTGAGCAAATAATCTGAGAAGCTGGACTACATGAAGAAAAATGTGGCATCAGGATTGGAGGAAGAATCATTAACAACCTGAGATATGCAGGCAATACAACTTTGCTTGCTGAAGGTGAGGGTGACTTAAGGCACTTACTGATGAACATTGAAGAATACAGTCTGCAGTATGGATTACGTCTCAATGTAAAGAAAACAAAAATCCTCGCAACTGGACCAATGAGCAGCATCACAATAAATGGAGAGAAGATTGAAGTTGTCAAAGAATTTGCATTGCTTGGTTCTACAATTGATGCCAATGGAAGCAGCAGTCAAGACATTAGACAATGTGTAGCATTGGGAAGGTCAACTGTGAAGGAGCTGTTTCAAGTGCTGAGGAGCAAGGATGTCTCCTTGAGGACTAAGGTGCTCCTGACACAAGACATGATATTTTCAATCGCCTCTCAAAGGCATGTGAGAGCTGGACAATGAATAAGTAAGACTGAAGAACAGTTGATGCTTTTGAGTTGTGGTGCTGGCGAAGAATGCTGAAAGTACCATGGACTGCTAAAAGACCTAACAGATCTGTCCTAGAGGAAGTGCACCTGGAATGCTCCTTGGAAGACAGAATGGCCAGACTTCGTCTCACCTATTTTGGTCATGTTGTCAGAAGGGACCATTCCCTGGAGAAGGATGTCATGCTTGGTAGAGTTAGGAACTACTACAATTCCCTAGTTCAGTTTAGTTTAAACTGTGACAAGTGCCTGAACATGGGTAGTGGCTGTGGTCAAGGGATGGAGGTCATTGTTATGGCAGACTCTCTCCCTTGGCAGGTGAGAAATGTGGAAAATATTTTGAAGGTCTCAGCCAGGAAACAATCTAACTTCCACTACTAGTGGGTAGGGTCACTGTGAATCATATATGACTCCACTGAACCTAACAACAAGAGGCATAAGCATTATACTGTGGAGTCAAAACCTTAATGGACAATCTTTCTACTACAGAGATTTTAGGACAATGGTGCCATTTACAGCCTCAGTTTTAGGTTAATTCCTAAACCATTTTCTCTTCTCTTATATTTCCTATATTATTTCTTTAATTCCTTCTTGAGAAGCAAAATGATACAGTGGAAAGAACACAGGGTTTGTAGTCACTTAATTTGGGTTCAAAGATAGGCTTTATCATAAGCTAATTATGTGACCTTGAGCATTGTATATAATCACTCTGAATCTGTTTCTGCATCTACAAAATAAGATATTAAGCTTAAGATATACAACAACCTCTGGTTGTTGGTAGGTGCAGTGGAGTCGGATCCGACTCCCAGCAACCCTATGCACTACTAGTGGAAATTAGGTTGTTTTCTGGATGAAACCTTCAAAATATTTTCCACATTTCTCACCTGCGAAGGGAGAGAATCTACCACCACGATGACCTCCATCCCTTGCCCACAGCCATTATCCATGTTCAGGTACTTTTCACTGTTTAAACTAAACTGAACTAGTGAACTGTAGTAGTCCTTAACTTTTATTCTCATATTTCCCCACATTTCTCTTATTATGATAAGCTGTATAAAGTGCCCAATCTCTCCCTGGTAAGAACTCAGCACATTTAAATTCTTCTTCTCAAAAGTGAAAGTTATAAACTGAAAACATAAAACTCTTCGTAATAAAGTTTACCCATGGCAGTTTTTATGTCTTGAAGAGTATTAAACAGACTTTCAGCTTTATAAAGGCAGATTGTTTTGTTTGAACAACTGGGCAAAGAAATCTCATGTTGAACTTGACTCATTATTCTGAAAATAAAAATACCATGCCATGAATTTTAGTTTATTTGCTTACATTTCTCAAAATCTTTGCCTAGAATTATGAAAATATTTCAGGGAAAAATTATCAACAGACAAGATAATGACAATACTCTTTCTACAATATCAAACCTTTTGCCAAGTGCTACGGAACAAAGCCATGTTTCTCAAGGAATATCTGTAATTTTCATCATTGGTGGGATTAAAGAAAGTAGCATTTTGATGAGCCTTAGATATCCTTCCTAATCTTCAGGAGAACAAACAAAAGCAAAGGTTCAAGTATATGACTATCTTATAGAGTCAAAATTTAGTACAGAAACCATGACTAAAATGGTTTTGAAAATCCTGAAAAATATAATTTTGTATTATGTATAAAAGCTATCACCCAGTATTTTGTCATAATATAGTACACATATTCAGAATGGTTAGAAACAGAAAGGTTCATATGGAATTTTTTACAGGGAAAACAGAATATGTAAATTTATCAGATGCTTTTTCACTCAAATGTTTACTTATGTATAAAAAATACATAGCAAAAGACAATGTGGAAGGTGGTCTAAAAAAGAGTGGAAGTCAGGTTGACTCCCTATAGCATCCTGCAAATGGTAACTTTCAATTCAGTAAGCAATCATGGGACTGAGAATTATTGTGGTGTTTAGCAATATGTTTGCAGAATATGTTTACAGAAGAAAAGATGATTGGAATAAAATCCTGCTTCTAATGAAATTTAGGAGAAAAGAAACACAAAAAACAAAGTACAACAACCCATCAACATCACTCCTACTTAGTTTGCAAATCTCTTCAGGGTTTTTTTCAGAGCAAATTTGATGTCCTTGTTCCTCAGGCTATAGATGAGGGGGTTAAGCATAGGAATTATGTGGGTATAAATTACTGAGAAGAACTTCCCTTTGTCCACAGAATCAGCAGAAGAGGTCCTAAGATGTGTGAACATTCCGGAACTATAGAACAGAGCAACAGTTATCATATGGGAGCCACAGGTGCTGAAGGCTTTGGACAAACCTCCAGGTGATGAGACATGGAGGACACTGGAAAGGATCAAAGCATAAGAAATGAAAATTATGAAGCTGGATAGTATTGCAATTGTGCTCACAATAATGGAGTCCACTAATTCATTGGCATGAATTAGTGGACTCCATTATTGTGAGCACAATTGCAATACTATCCAGCTTCATAATTTTCATTTCGGAAGGAAGGTTGGGCAATCCTACTTCCGTAGTGATACTGCCTCGGAAACCCAAGGAGGGGTCGCTATGAGTCGGGGCTGACTCGACGGCACATAACAACAACAACAACAATTCATTGGCATAAGTACTGCTGCAGGAGAGTTGGAGGAGGGGAAAGATGTCACACATGTAATGGTTGATGATGTTGAAGTCACAAAAGGATAGTCTGACCATGTCCCCTGTGTGGGCTATGGCACCAGCAAATCCCATAACATAGGAACCAAGCATCAGCAGGAAACAGGTTTGTGGAGGCATGGCAACTGTGTACAGTAGGGGCTTACAGATGGCAACATAGCGATCATAAGCCATGGCTGTCAATACATAGCACTCAGAATGGACAAAGAAACAAAAGAAAAATAGCTGAGTCATGCATCCTGCAAAGGAGACGATATTCTTCTCTGACATAAAGCTCATTAGCATTTTAGGGGTAAGGACTAAAGAGTGACAGAGGTCTATGAAGGACAGATTGAAGATGAAAAAGTACATGGAGGTGTGAAGATGAGAATTTAGGCAAATCAGATTAATTAAGCTCAAATTTCCCACCACAGTGACCACATGGTTCACCAAGAAGAAAAAGAAGAGGGTTAGCTGGAGTTCAGGTTTGTTGGTCAATCCCACCAGGATGAACTCAGTTACTGAAGATGCATTTTCCATAGCCACTTTCTGCTTCTGTAAGGAATCTGTAAGGAATGGGAGAAGAATATCACATTAAAAAGAGTCCCAGATCTTTAGTTTGGACTGGTTCTGTTGGGCCCAAGTCCCGAGAGTAACTGTAGCCTGGGACAATGACTTCCTGTCTTTTACCTTTCTTCTCTTATTTGTCCTTTCCTTCAATATTTTCAATTATCAACTGTAACTTCCCATCTTCCCAGTGGAGACACTGTCCAGTACAAATTTCTTGAGCACCGAAATTGACCTCTATATGTGAAAGACAGTGAAATAATATCTTGATTATTATATTATTATATTATTATTATAAATAAGCCAGCCAAGATCACACAGCAGGAGAAAAAAAGGAGACAGGGATAGTTCTTAGGACCGCTTCCTATGGAAATACCTGAAGTTCTGAGACAGTAAAGTCACCATGATTCTACCTTAATGCATTACTTAACCCATTCTCTCCCTCTTACCTTTAAGATACTCAGGACTTGGCTTAGTGCAAGTGCTCACATGTCCTTTAATGTCCTGCATTCCTCCTATCCATCCACTTCATCCTGTGTCACCTCAAAATTAAAATGAATTGTTCAGGAAGAACAGGTGGCCTCCCAAGAGTTCTACACTCCTGAATCTGTGGGTAGGAAAACATCAGGACAAGGACTACTCAGTTGCTCAAATTCTTTCTGTCTGGAGACCTTACTATTCCTGGCCTTTAAATATTCTTCCTTCCTCACTGTCCTGAAGAAGATAAAGTTTCTGATAATGAATAAGGCAATATCATGAGGAAAAATCTCAGTCTCTGAGTAGCTGGATCAGTTTTTTAGAGGAAAGGATATGATTCTGCTTGTGAATTTACCTATATGTCTTTTAGAGTTCGGCAAATACATCAACTTTTTTTTCCCCAAAACCATCAGCTGGTGTATAGCATGAATTTATCTTGTTCTGCATGGATATCAGCAGCTTGACTGGAAGCTAAAAAAACAAGCTTTTCATTTAGGATTTTATGCTAATTTAGATTATGGTCTCAAGGGGAGAAATTATTAAGTCTATGTTTACATCATCTGTTAGTGAGTTAACATTGGTTCCTTTGGGACTCGATATTCTTCAAGCATCAGTTCACATTAGGAATTTTGAATTCTCTGACCAGGAAAAGAGTATCCTCTTTTGTGTTCTCTACACTATCCCCTAAGATTCTAAATGAGGAACATTCTAAATGAGGACCATTTGGTCTAGGATCATTTACAGTTTTCAAAACGTTCTTATATTTCTCTGTACTTAACATTGTATTAAGTCTTAGCTTTAACTCTTTTATGACCCATGGGATATATATATTTATATATATATATATTCACACACACACACACACACACACACACACACACATTTATTTATTTATTTTCCCCACCAACATTTTAAGGGTTTAAAATTTCTTGGGAAGCTGCTATCCTAGTTGTAGTATGTACTACCACATGGCAGGGACATGTGTAACTCCATGAATCTGAAGAAAATGGTCTCACCACAATAATTCTACCACCAGAGTCCACTTGCAAAATATGTCCCATATAATTATATAAAAATCCACATTGTAATGTAGAGCCACTGAGACACCAGGACAAGGAGTTGTTTCAGAGAAGCAGTTTATTAGCACTTCCAGGCGAGGTTCTCATGCCCTAGCATCAAGGCCAGAAAAGTTGCACCCCCGGGCAGGGGGGATAGATACTTATAGACACAGAGAGGACCTAACTGGGGACACTAAGGAAATGACAGGGTCCTCTAAGGAAATGACAGGGTCCAATTAGCTGTTAACATGGGTCTGCACTTAACTAGCATGAGGGGACTTCACAGGAGGAAGTTTGTCATTGCATGGGACTTTCCAGTCTGGGCAGGTTCTGTCACTACGGTTGTCTTATCAGGCTGTCTCATCAGGGCCTGACACCTGTAGGAAGCTGACAACTGACATATTGGGGGCTTGGGTTTAATTTGGCCTAACATTCCAACCTCTTTTAATGGATAAAGGGTGACGTGATTTTCTTAGCTTCTTCCTGCTGAATGGGGTCGGAGAGGGGGAGAGGGGTTTAATAGGTTGGAGCCTGAAAAGCCAGGGTCATCAGTTGGCAACTTGGTGTAAGGGTGTAGAAGTTGATTCACTGAGACCCGAGATATTTCTTCAAGTCAGCTTCAGAGAAACTTGAGGAGGCAAGGGGCAAAGAGAAAAAGAAGAGTTATTAGTACAAGTGGTCCGATGAGGGGTAATAGCCAGGCTGTCAGTGGTGATTGGAACCATCCAAACAGCGAAGTTTCTGTGCCTGACACAAGCCATGATATTTCCAATCACCTCGTATGCATGTGAGAGCTGGACAATGAATAAGGAAGACCGAAGAAGAGTTGATGCTTTTGAGTTGTGGTGCTAGCGAAGAATGCTGAAAGTACCATGGACTGCTAAAAGAACTAACAGATCTGTCCTGGAGGAAGTGCAACCAGAATGCTCCTTGGAAGCCAGAATGGCCAGACTTCGTCTCACCTATTTTGGTCATGTTGTAAGAAGGGACCATTCACTGGAGAAGGATGTCATGCTTGGTAGGTGGAGGGTCAATGAAAGAGGGGGAGGCTTTCAACAAGATGGATTGACATGGTGGCTGAGATGATGGGCTCAAGTATAGCAGGGAATGCGGGGCTGGTGCAGGATTGGGCAGTGTTTCATTCTGCTGTGCATGGGGTCGCTATGAGTCAGAAATGACTTGATGGCACATAACAACAACAACAACAATCTGTTTGATAAGTGTAAGGCCCTGGTGAGGGCGACTAGTTCGGCTTTCTGAGATGAGGTGCCTTCAGGGACAGTGTGGGTTTCTACAATGTCAGTCAGGGTGACAACGGCATATGCTGCCCTATGTCATCCATGGGGGTCTATGGCTGAGCTGCCATCAACAAAGAAGGTGATGTCTGGGTGAGTTAAGGGCTGGTCAGATAAGGAGTTAGGAGAAGTAGGTAAAGTGTCTAGAATTTCTGTGCCAGAGTGGGAGTGCAGTGGGTCATGGGTTGGTAGTAGTGTGGCTGGGTTGAGGGGTGGAGACTGGGCTAAATTAACATCGGGATTCTCAATACAGGTAAGGTGGAAGAGTTGGAGGCGAGATGGGGATAGGAGGGAAAGGTAAAGGTGGGATAAAAGGTCTTTTAGTCTGTGTGAGGAAAATACACGAAGAGGGCGGTGGAGGGTTAGTTTGAATGCTTCCTGTGTAAGAATTGCCACTGCCGCTAGTGCTCTTAAGCAGGGTTGTTATCCTCGTATTGTGGGATCTAGACGTTTGGATAGGTAGGCCAATGGGGAGGGGAAGGGACTGTGAGGTTGGGTAAGAATTCCCAGAGCCATCCCTTGGTGCTTGTCGGTGAATAAAGAAAAAGGTTTGGTAGGATTGGGGAGATGGAGAGGTGGAGATTGTAAAAGGTGATTTTTCAGGGTGATGAAGGCAGCCTTAATGAGTTGTGGTGATTGAAGGGGACCAATGGGTGTGTCCTTGGCTGCATCATAGAGGGGCTTAGCCAGAAGGGAAAAGTTAGGGATCCATTGTCTAGAGAACTCAACTAGTCTGAGGAATGATAAGATTTGGTCAGCAGAGGTAGGGGATAGCAGGTCTCGTATTACTTGCTTTCTATCCAGGGTGAATTCCCGGGTGGTGGGTGTTAGTTTAAGGCCAAGGTAAATGACAGAGGGAGTAGATAACTGGACTTTAGAAGGTGAAACCTGGTACCTCTTTTTTGCTAGGAAGTTTAAAAGAGTGGCAGTGTGTGTAGTTGACTGTTCTAAGGAGGGCTATATAGGAGAAGGTTATTGACATATTGTAAGAGAACGGATGGGGAGAGGTTGCAGTCTAGTAGGTCTCTGTCCAGTGCCTGTCCAAAATGAGTTGGACTATCCCTGAATCCTTGTGGGAGGACTGTCCATGTGAGCTGGGAGGAGGTGTGAGTGTGGGGATCTTCCCAAGTGAGGGCAAAAAGGTTGTAACACCTGGGGTCTAAGTGGATTGTGAAAAAAGCGTCTTTGAGATCTAAAACAGAAAAATGAGGTAGTAGGGGGAATATTGGAGAGTAAGGTATACTGGTTAGGGACAATGGGATGCAGGGGAACTATGGCATTGTTAATAAGATGAAGGTCTTGGACTAGTTGGTAGGACCCGTTAGGTTTCTTTACTGATAAAATAGGGGTATTGCATGGGTATTGGGTGGGGATTAAAAGTCCTTTAGATAAGAAGCACTGTATAAGAGGTTTCAGGCTGAGTCTGTGAATGTGAGAGATGGGAAATTGGGGTTTGGATGGAAACTGTGTGGGATCCTTTAAATTTACCGTAACAGAGGGGTGATGAGAGGTGATGGATGAGGAAGAAGTATCCCATATGCATGGATCAACAAGGTCAGGGGACATGGGGAAAGCTGGTGCTTGCAGGGAGGTAGCAGTTAGTGAAAGCAGGAGAGAGGCAGAGTGATCCTGATCCCAAATGAGAGTGGTTTTAATTTTTGTGAGGAAATCTCGCCCCAAAAGGGGGGTAGGGCAGGTTGGTATAAGAAGAAATGAGTGTGAGAGAATTTTGTTATCTATTAAACAGGTGATGGGGCCTGTCGTGGAGGGGGGTTTGAGGGTTGCCCATTAATTCCCATAACAGAAACTGAGGAAGGGAAACATGGTTCAGAGAAGGATACCATGATACCACTACCTTGATAGTGACCCTGGGCTCAGCGAGAGTGATCAGGGTTGTTGAGTCTGGGCTCCTTCAGTCATCAGTGGCCAGGCCCAAGATTGTTGAGAGTGGGTTAGTGGATGGGGAGGATGGCCTTCCATGCTTTGACACAGAGGGACAGTCACTGTTCCAATGTCTATCTAAACCACACGCTGGACATGTGCCAGGGGGTGGTCGCATCCAGCCGGTAGGGGCTGAGGCCAGGATTTGGCCCAGTGCCCTTCTTTGCTGCACTTGAAGCAGGACCGGGGAGCGGCTGAAGAAGGAGGTCTTCTGTCACTATGTACTGGCCTCAGGGCTGCTAGCAAGGCATTAGCCTGAAAGGTGGCCTTTTGGCAGGTCCTGGCTTCCCTATCTGCCTCCACTTTTTCCTCCCAGATATTAAAGACTTTAAAGGCCATATTTACTAAGTCTCTGATGGGAGTTTGGGGTCCCTCTTCAGTCTTCTTTAGTTTTTTTCTAATGTCAGGAGCTGATTGGGTTATGAAATGAGTGGCTAGGACTGTGGCTCCAGCCAGAGAGGAGGGGTCTGGACGGGTAAATTGGGTAAGGGTTTTGGTTAATTGGTTCAGGAAGGTGGTTGGGTTCTGATCCAGAAGTTGGGTAATTTCTGGAGTTTGTTAAAATTAACTGCTTTATGAGAGACAGCTTGTAGGCCTGCCAGGAGACATTGGAGCATTTTATCTCTGTGGGCTCTCCCAGTCCATCTGGACTGGGTGTCAGGCTGGTACTCCCAGCATGGGTTTTGCGCCAGAACAGTGTCCCCTCCGACAGGCATGGAGTTATCTGTTAGGTGGGTTT